TGCCATCCTGGGGCTGGGGACATGGCTGGGGGGGCACCCCAGGCTCTGCTGCCTGCCCAGGGCGGGAGCTGGAGGTTCGGAGGGAGCTCAGCGGGCAGCTGTCTGTCAGCAGGGGGGATTGGGGAATGGCTGCCAGTGCCGGGGGCGGCGGAGCGACAACAGGGCTCTTACAGGGATAGCACCACAAGGGATTTGTCTGTTGCTTTTTTAATTAACAAGGTCTTAGAAAACTGAGAAGGTCCTGACAGCTCATGAAGGAGACAGCCACCCTGCAGAACCTGCTGCCACCCTGACAACTTGGAGGGACAGTGACCACTCGCTCATCCTGCCCTTGGAAGAATCATAGAATCATAGAATCGTTTAGGTTGGAAAAGACCTTTAAGATCATCCAGTCCAACCATTAACCTACACTACCAAGTCCACACTAAACCAATCAAGGGTAGACTAGACTGAACCATGTCCCGAAGTGCCACATCTACCCGTTTTTTGAATGCTTCGAGGGATGGTGACTCCACCACCTCTCTGGGCAGCCTGTTCCAATGCTTGACTACCCTTTCCGTGAAGAAATTTTTCCGACCTTCATTGTCTCAAACAGCAGCTTCACCAGCGCCATCCTCCCCCAGCTGATCGTGGCTTTGGAGAGCTGGGTCACCTCCAGCGTGCGGTTGCGGCAGACCACCCTCAGCTCCTGCTGCAGGCGCTGCCATGGGAATTTCTCCTTGGCTTTCTTAACCCACTGCTCCACCTCCTGCATCACCATTTCCATCTTCAGCTTCTTCTGACCAAAGAGCACGAGCAGTGGCTCCAGGAGGCACTGCAGGCTCTCAGTGGAGCCTGCATCGTCCAGTTTGATGGCCTGCTTGAAGCACTCAATGACCAGTGTTTCCTGGCTTTTAAGCCACAGGCATTTGCCCCTGAAGAGCTGCAGTTCGGGTATGATGTCATGCAGGTCAAACTCCATGTCTTTGTCCAGGAGTTTCATCCGCCAGGAACAGTTCTTGCACAACGTCTATGCTTATGTAATAGTAAAAAATAGTAAATAGAGGGAGGGCAGGGCAAAATAGGGCTGTCAGGGGAAAGAGACCAACGGCTGCCTCTGAGGATGACATTCCCCATCGGGCCCTGGGGAGAGGCGCAATAGAGTGTGCCTGACCTGCTCTCAGCACCGTGTCCATAGTGTACATGCGGGGCTGGAGTCCTGCTCCCATCCTTGTGTCTAATGTCTCCCACTGATTGGCTCCAGGTGGCTCTTCACTCCCGTAAGCTCTCTGAATTCCCTCCCAGCTAAGGCTGAGGTTAACTGTAGCAATCCCACTGTTCCCTGTTCCTGCCTTCAGCCCTGCTGCACCTCACCGTCTGCCTTGCACCTAACTGGAACCGAGCCCAACAGGAGGGAGAGGCAGACCCCTCAGTCTTTGTGGTCTAACTTTAGGGCTGAGAGTTAAAAACCTGGGGACACTGCAAGGAGCTCGCCAGGATCTCGGGTATGATGTGCCCATCCTCACCTGGCCCATGTCCAGGCTTGTCCTCAGGCACGGACAAACCGTGAGGACCCTTTTGAGGTCATTTTAGCATGCATGTGCTTCCTTCTGTAAAGCACCAGGCCCAGTCCACCTTGGTGCATTCCAGATGTTGCAGATACATCTTCATGTGGATCTGGAGACCAGAGGAAACTCATCAGCTTGTGCCCAGTGGCAGGATGGGTGATGAAATGATGTGAGTACAAACCACTAGCATGCATCAGGTCAGCTCCTTGGCCATGCCAAGCTACACCAGAGAGCCAGGCCAGCTTCCCCAGCACCAGCACCTCGGTGTCCAAAGCATGACCCCATGGTTAGCAGTACCAGGAAAAGTCGTGCAAGCCCCTGAGACACTGCTCATCCCATTGACCTTGGCTGTAAATTTGGTTGCTGGTGATCATCGGGTCCTTCAAAGCAACTAGCCCACCCACTCCCCCTTCCAGGCTCAGACATGGGGGCAGCATGCCCTAAGGTGTTCAGAGGTTGAACTGCTTGGCCATAGGAGTGTGCCTGAAGAAGGGCTGAGAAATCAAAAGCCTTTTTTTAATGTCATTTAAGATCTCTCCAGTCAAACCTGGCAGGCAGACACCACCCAGCACCCAGTGACCACCTCCACACTGCACTTTTCCACCTCCTGCCTCTAGCTCAAAGGAAGTTAAACATCTCTGAAGAGAAGTTGTAAGCACATATTAAAGTACTCCACTAGAGGAGGAGATTTCACTTCACTGAGCCTCATTTTATGAGGAGTTAAATAATCCCATTTAAATATAAGGAAGTCAGAATGAGTCCTTGTTTTATTTAAAAATGAGATTTGAAGAAATCTTCATGATTCTTCTATAATGAGAAATACTCACTAATGTGCGCTCCTGTTTACAGGTGGCTGGAAATGGGCACAATTGGGATTAAAGAGCATACTTTCGATGCTCCTGAGTGATTTAGGAGCCTTAAAGTCATTAAATAATTGAGCCACTTCTGCGAGGTGACTCAGCATCTTGCCCAGAGGGACCTGGGGAAGTCCCTGAGCAGCTCAGTGCCAGGGCCAGGATCTGGCCCAGATTGCCTGGCTGGCAGGTAGCAACTTCACTCCCAGGCCAGCCAGCACTGGTTTTGTCAGGCAATTACTTCTCCGTAGGTGTTTCTCACCACAATTAAGCAATGCAAACGCTGTGTGGGAGGAGAGCTGTGGCTGTCCCGGAGGCTGGAGGAGCAGGACAGGTCCCTGCGGGAAGGGGACCTGCCCATGCCTCGGACACCCAGCACGCTGTGCCGGCCCCACGGGGGGCCCCGGGCACGGGCACGGGTGGGCCCAGGTGCCAGTTGAGCTGCAGGTCCTGCAGGACATCCAGTGCCACATTGCATATCCCTTTGGCCACCTCCTGCTTGCCCAGGAAGTGGAAGATTTTCACCAGGCGGCTCAGGACAGGAGGGTTGTCTTTCACCATTTCTATTGCCTGTTTGAGCCACAGAAGTGAAACACATTTCCATCAGTGACTTACTGCCTGCTGTGCTGATCAAAGGGACAAAACCATCTTGGATTGATTCGCCAGGGCGCTGTTTTAACCGGGAGTGTTTAAGGCTATACAGGAGACGCAGTCTGCGGGGAAAGCTGATATCCCTTACTAAATCAGCAGACAGGACTGAATGCGGGGCTAAGCTCGGGGGTTATGTGCCTGAAAGCCTGTCTGTGCTCCTTATTTTTTCCAGCTGTGCTGGGGGAATCTAATAAAGGTACTGCTGTCCCTGAAGCCTGTCACCAAACCGCTCGCCTGCTGCTTTGCTGGGGGCTGATTTATGCCATCGGGGCCAAACACATGGCCTGACAGGGGTGTGCCCTGCATGTGGCGGGACCGAGGGTCTCGGCTCCCGCCTGGCGCCTCCCCTCTTTGCTCTGGGGGATTTCCAGGAGGAAGAATGCTGAGGATGGGGAGAAGATGAATGAAGGACCAAGCAGGCGATGGCAGCTGCCTCAAATCAGTCCCTGGTGCAGCAGCGCTGGGTCTAGCACCCTGCCAAAGCAATTGAGGGGGTCAGTCTCAGAAGCCACAGTGCTGGATGCCCATTGGGGTGGTGGAAAACATTTCTTACCAGCAGCATCCCCAGGTAGCACCAAGCCAGGGCTAGGGAAAAGAAGTCAGGGCAGGTAAGAGGCCAAGTCATTCAGCACCCAAACCTCTCTCCATACTGCAGAGGCTTTGCAGTTTGGGCTTGGGGTCTCAGCACAGAGAGGCAGCACATCTTGACCAAAGTTGGACATGCTCCCACACGGCTTTGCAGGGTCTGTGAGCCCCCGGCGCTGGCTCACACACCTGGCTGACTAACTTTCCCGAGTACTTTCATTCCCTCCAGTGATGTTACTGTAACTGCACGACTGCTGGACAATGTTTTTATGCCCAGTGAAGCGGCAGTGGCAGGCCTTGTCTTAGATTCACCCCTCGGGAAGTTACTGTGTGGATATAAAATTACCACACATCCCCTGTGCCCTGGCAGCTACCCAAGGTGCAGGTGCTCCTGGGTGACCCTCGGGCGCTTTCAGAGAGTTCCTCCTGAGCAGACAACACTTTTGACAATAAACAACACTGATAAAAATATGGTAATTAAATCAATTGGAAGAATGCATGTCATCATCTGAGGTTCAGGGGTACCTTGGATATAGGTGCATACAGCATCCATCAGTGCTGGATGCATTACACCATGAGTTACATGTGCGTAGGGACCAGAGTGGGTGGTTTACACAGATGGGTTTGGGGTCCCCCTCCTGCCGAAACAATCCATTTCTCCTGCCTCTGTAGCAAGCGTTGGAGGACTTGATGACTTGTTGGAGACAGCGCCAGGGTCCTGTTGAAGGTGGGCGGTCTCTTCTGCTTCTCCCTGCCCTGGCTCAGCAGGCTCCCATCTGGCCTGCAATGGGAGCAGGCAGTGTGGCTGGGACAGGGGGGCAGCAAATCCTGCTTTCTGCACAGAACAGCAGCCCAAGCCAGGGAACCGGCTCCCCCGACCTGGCTGGCTCTTGTCTGAAACGCCACGGGTGTTAAGGGGGCTGGTGAGCCTCCCCTGTCAAGATCATGGGTGTGGATCGCCTTGCCCAGACCTGCCAGTGCTTACACATGCAGCAAATACAGCACCACAGAGAACATGAGCATCATTTTATTGCCCAAAGCGGGATTGGCAGGTTGGGTTGTTGCTTTAAGAGTGTATTTCCTAGCAGCTTAGAGATAATTTATCCCTATGAAAGCCTGGTAAACAGTTGGATCAAGCCCTGAATGTGTTGCTTTAGCCAGGCTGGGAGCCTCCATTACAACCAGGATCCCTGCCTCGACCCTGCTATCTGCTGGCCCTGTCTGCTCTTGGGAGGGGACATTCCCTGGGGAACCGGGATGCTGGGTGCCATGGTGACAGCTGCCATGGCAAGAGCTGCCACCATCCCTGCAGCCCTCGGGGACCAGAGCTGCCAGCGTTGGGCTGCAGGCGCTCCCCGGGGACATGGGCAGCCAGGTGAGGCCACCATCTGGGCTTGCTTGGATGCGTGGGGAGAGCTGGACTTACCAGTGTGGCTCTCCTCACCTCCCACATTGTCTGTGCCCACTGGGAAGCAGCTTCTTGCTTGGGGACTTTTTGTACATGATAGTCCGAGACACCCAGCTCAGGCTGGGAGCACCCCAGGGTAGAAGCGTGGGATATCGGCTGCTCATGCCGGAGCTTGCTGGCACCTTCCCAGTGCTCAGCAAACACAGAGCACAGAGGAGTGGGATGTGGAGCAGCAGATCCCCATGTCCATCTCCCCTAGTCACCCCTCTTCACCCAGCTGCAGAGCCACAGCTGGCTGAGCCATGGGCTCAGCCTCGTGCTCCAGTCCCGGCGCTGCTGACGGCAGTGCTCTGGCTTTGCGTTGCAGGGGAAAGCATCAGCCTCTGGCTGGGTCAGAGCGGAGAAGGGCTCCTGGCTTAGTCAGCTGCCCCATTTCCAGTTCAAGGAGATAATGAAGAGACGCAAACGCCAGGTAAGAGCTGGGTTTCATCTGCCCTCTGTGCACATTTGCTGGGGGTGAGTGGTTCAGGCAGTGATGCCCAGCCCCGTCCTCATCCTCCCCACTCTCCTCCTGCAGCAGGAAAGGCTGGGCCCAGGAACATACAACATCAGGGACTTTCTGCAGGAGACACGGCCCTCCAGCCTCCGGGGGATCTGCGACACGAGGGAGCAACGGTTCAGAGATGTCCACAGGGTACGTCACACCTTGACACGGGAGATGCTGGGGAATGGTGCCTGCCAGCTGTGAGACTTGGGTCCAGGCTGATGCCTCTGGAGAGCAAGCCTTTTGCAAGGGTTAGGAGCTACCATGGGCGCCATCTCCTCCTGCTGGGCTGGGGACTGTCCCCCTTGCCAAGGCTGCCCATGGCCACCCCACCTCTCCCGCAGGACTGCTTCCCCGGTCCCGGCACGTACGGCCCCGGGGGGAACCCCTATGCCCGCCTCGACGAGAGGGACAAGCACTCTGCCAGCACGCGAGGGCTGATGGACAGCAGGGTGGTGAAGTGTGCCCTGCCGGCAGCCGTGGCAAGTCCTGCCCCTTGCCCTGGGGACGCGCCAGTGGGGTGGCCAGGTCCTCCCGCTGAGCACAGTCCCTGCCGCCTTTCCCCCTGTGCCTGCAGGGCAGCGGCCTGGGACCTGGCACCTGCCTCCTGCGGAGCAGCATCGACAAGGGGCTGCGGCGGCCGGGCAGCCCTTGCCCCCGCCAGCTCTTCTCAGGGGACAGACTGAAGCCCACTGGTGGTGGCCATCACGCCTTGGAGGTGAGTTGCCCTGGGGCCCTGCACCCGGATGGGGTTTCTCAGCGAGCCGTGGCATTGCCAACACATTGCTATAAGGATGGAGAGCTGCCTTATGCCAGCATCTGTCCCGCTTGGATTTTGCTCTTTGACTTCCCTTGGATCCTGGAAAAATACGCCCATGCAGCAGCGTCTGGGGAGCGAGCGGGCTGCAGGCACTGTGCAGGAGAGTGGGCTGGTGCCTGTGAGCAGTGTCGGAGCTGAGCTCTCATGGCACAGGACAAATGGGGTGGCCTGAGAGACCACCGGCAGCTGAGCCTCTCATGCCCGCTCCCTTGTCCCGGCAGAGGAGAGGTACCAAGCTGAGCACTGGCACTGTCAAGGGTTTCCTGGACGAGCTGAAGGAGAACAAGAAGAAAGGCTGCTTCAGCACCCTGCCAAGGAACCCAGGCTGCCCCACGGAGAGGATCTTCTGGGCCACGCTCAGCCAGTGCCCCAGGGAGGCGGTCAGTGGGAGCATGGGCACCAGCACCAGCCGGTGTCACCGGCATCCCCGGTGGTGCAGCGGGTGCCTGGCGAGGGGATGCATTAGGCCCTGGGAGGGGTGGACGGATGGATGGCTGTCCGATGTGCAGCCCTTTTTATGAGCAAACGGAAGCGTAACAGGTTTCCTTCTGCCCAGTATGCAGTGGGGCCAGGCTCCTACAACCCTAGGCCTGTCGAGAGATCAACGTACTCCAGCCAACCCCCATTCTGGTCATCTGCCAAGAGATTCGACAGAAAGTTCTACCGCCTCTTTACTGGGAACGAGGTGAGTGAATGGACAAGGCAGTGAGAGAGGGACACAGGAACAGTCAGGCTCTGAACTTCCTCCTTGACCATCCCCAATCCATTACCAGCACGCCTGGGAGAGGATGAAACTCTTCTGAGCCAAAGTAAGGATGGGCACTCCTCACCAGCTTCAGCCAGCTAAACATTAGGTGTGTCCTCTAAACGGAGCAGCACCCCAGCAGAAGTCCCACATCAGGTGGCTGGCTGTGATAGAAGGGCAGACTGACCTCAGGAGGTGCTTTTCTCTCCCTGTTGATTATCAGGGAAACCTGGGCGACTTGGCCAGGTACCTGTCCCTTAGAGAGGAGATGAGTCCCTCTCTGGGTGCTGTTGTTCTCGCCCAGAACAGGTTGCTAAAGAATAAACAGTGAATAAAGGCCCATGGCCCAACATCCCACCAGGTCAAAGGAAAGGTGCCCCCTGCGCACAGCAGCACACTGAGCACCCACCGCCTGTAGGCAGGCGAGCTTGGCTGGTGCTGAGCAGAGGGGCAGGAGCTCAGCAGTGACCACATTATCTCTGCCTGCATCTGCAGGCCTTTGCCCTTTTCAAGGGATGCTCAGACAACCCTTCCCATTAGTTTTGCTCTGCATCAGCTGCAAGCAAGCAGATGCACTTCATGGATGAGGGCAGCTGGGTTTGAGTCCTTTTAGGTGCCAGGAGCTCCTTGTATCCTCCCAGAAAGTTGTATTCTGCTGCTTGAAAGCCAGTTTTTCCTCTAGCGGCATCAGCAGCATGTTGGAGAGCCAGTGCAGGTAGGAGTCCTTCCCTTAGTACCTTTTCCTGGAGCGGTATTCATCTTGGCAGCTCCCCCATGGAGAACCAGAACAAAGCCTAAAGGGCTCAAAGCAGACAAGGAAAGCTTTAGTCTGAAATTTTCCACCTTGGCTAGGATGAGGAACAGGCTTCCACGTGGCTTCTCTCCTTTATCCAGCTGAGCAGGGAACAGGCAACGTGAAAGAGGTCAAGGATGAAGACATCCTTGTAATTGCTGGGGAACTCGACAGATTACATTTCAGTGGGGAGGTTATGACACAGCAGCCCTTCCCTACAGCTAGCAGTAGGCGACTGGTGAGCATGCTCAAGCCCACAGAGCTAATCAGCTTCTTTATGGACCACTGTGATGAGAAGAACTGCTCGTGAAGGGGACTGGCTGGGCTAACACCGATTAGCGTGTCTTCTCCTCCCTCCCCTGCAATATAGGCTCGGTTTGGCTAAGACATGCCACATGTATTTTTTGCAACTGAAGGTCTGGCCATGTGAAGGCACTACCCGGTTTTGCTTTTGCCTCACACACATCCCCCACGCTGCGTCAGGATGGGGAAGTACATGAGACCTTCTCCTTCCAGAACCCTGTAGATGTTGGTCGCTATGACATCACCAAGCATGAAAAATACCCTCAGATGATGAGATACCAGTCCCTGTACCGGTGTGATGCGCAGCGGTACCTGAGCAACTTGAAGCGGGATGCCTACCTGTTGTAAGTCTGACAGGCAAGGGGCTGTAAGTGGTTTCACACTGGCTTACAGGAAAATCATCTTGAGCAGCTCTGGGGAGACGGAGTGCACGTTACTGACACTACAGCTGACGGGAGATGGGGTGATTGTGTAGTTGAAGCACTGGATCGGGACAGAAGCACTCGCCAGCCCCGCCACAGGTTCCCTCTGTGGACAGGGAGGTTGGTATTGCTGTGCCTCTCCCGTCCCAGGAAAGTGAGGAGATCTTCGTGCTTCCCCATGGCGTAGGAGTAGTGGGAAGGTTATGGAACTGCCGGCTCTCAAGGCACTTCATAGATGCTGAGGTGGTTGTTGTATCTTGTGAAATGCGATTTGCCTACAGTGGAGGTGTAGGCAAATAGTTTCCAACCAGTTAGAGGAGGAAGCCTGGGAGGGTACTGGGAGATGGATAATCAGGCTGTCTGGACCCATTCCCAGTGCCAGCAGTCCTGAACAAATTGCTCAACAGCCCCAAACACAAATCACCTGCTCAGGCTGTGCCTTGGTTTACCCATCTGAGGAAGGAAGATAACAAGGCTCACTTTCACTGCAAAGGGCTTTGAAATCGCTAGCGTGAAAACCCTGCGAAGCAGTTAGGAACTATACTAATGAGAGACCTCAGGATAGCCCTCCGCTCTCACCTTTGCTTGTGGCCAAGATTAGCAAACTGCTGCGGTGGCACTATGGGCTGACAGCTCTGCAAAGGTCTGTCTTGATCTCCAGAGAGCAGTTCGAAATTGGTCTTGGCTGAATATAACTCGGCAGCTTTCAGCAGGGCAGCCAGAAGTTAGCTATCCTATGATGGAGAAAGCATAATGAAATCTAGCTTTCCATATTGCCCAGCTTTGTTAATTTTGCACTTCCAGTAGGAATAAAAAAAGAAATCTGAACAGTGAGCAGGGCTCGGAATTCAAACGCATCTGTCTGATCAAATAGCACTAGCTCCAAAATCGCTTTTCAAGCTACAGCTTTTAAGAGCTCTGTTCACCTCCATGCTCATTAAGACTAATGAGATTAATCCAGCCAAAAATTTGAGCCCACTGAATCGCATCCTCTTTCCACAGTGAGCGGCTCAAGCCTGTTGCTAAAAACAACTGGAGTGATTTGATTTCTGCTCCACGTTGTCCAGATACCTCTGAAGAAATCACTGCTGTTTTCCAAACCTAAGATGGTGCTGGGAAGCCCAAACCAGTGAGTAAATGGCAGACGTGCCAGCAGATGACACGGGGTAGATGAAAATACAGCGTGCTAGCACGCAAGTCAAGAGATGGGAAACAAGTCTTGTTCTGTGGTAATAAAACACGCTTAGACAATCAGCAGTCTAACTCTTCTGTTGAGTAACTCGTTATATAAAAGTGACACACTTGAGAAGAGGGTGACAGATACTGCAGGTCCTCCGAAGGAAGGTCTGCTGGCACGCACAGCTCATTCAGTGTGAAACTCGTCCTTTCAAACGACGCCACTGAAAGAAGTTGCACATGGGCATTATGGGCACAGTGGTGGTACCACAGCTGAATACCCCCAGGTCCACCAGTACAACTCAGCGGAGAGCTGGGTCTGGGAAAGCAGTACGATGGCAAAGTAGTTAGAGCAGCCAGGCCTCCGGCACCTGCCTCCGTACCTGTCCCACCCCGTCTTTCTTTAAAGATCCTAGCTGTGTGCAAGGATCTTCATCACAAGCTATAACATACAGCTTCACTTGAATTAACGATGCAAATGTTTGTAAGCAGATGGAGGGAATTAGGGGGAATTCAGTGTCACTGTTCCAAATTTTGTAGGATATCAAAACCTAGAGGCAACGGAGAAAGCGAAATGAAGAGGGAGGTGTGTCGGTGGTAGCAAAGGATGGCCACAAAAACATACTGGGAGTATGCTGGTTCGCTTAGAGTTAGCCTTTATATAAAGTCTCGTACTAGCGTCTAGGCTAGACTGGAATAATTAAATCTAGGTGTAATTACATGTTAGTTGTGGTTGATTAAGTATGCTAATTATCTGCAGTTATCTTTTGGTGGGGGAGATAATTGAACACAGGTAAAACTGCAGCGATTTAAGGAAATACTGATTGTTGTTCTAGAGAGGCAAGCAAAGGAGGTGTGAAGGGAAACACCGGAGCAGTGATGTGGGTAAGCACGGGCTACAAAAATACTGCTGGGGTAACGAGAAGACAGTGAAATACAGCGTAAGTCAGGGCCAACACAGAATGGGATTAAAGCAACACAGGGCTTTGGCACCTGAACTGCAGTTTTAGTGGTGCTGAGGCATTTGGCAGCCTGGATTTCAGGAGAAAGTCCAGGAGCTTCTCTCTGGGAAGATAGCATTGGAAGAGGATGCACCAGCTGAGACCAAGGGAGGGGCAGGAATACCGCTGCCTAAGCCTACAGAGCTGCTGTGAAAGCATTTTTCAAGGAAACAGAAGACGTGGATGTGGAACTCCTCAGGCTGAAGAGGGCACTGAATCTTCATCCTCGCTTCTGTGGCTGCTCATTCAAACCAGGGATTAGATTTATTAGCGTGAAGTGAGAAGAATGAAGTAGCTAGCTATCCATGTCAAGGGCTGTAGCACCTAAATCCAAAATGGGGTTTTGTCTTCCTTGGACAAAATGTCACAGGGAAAGAATGATGAGAGGGGGAAAAAAAATCAGAATTGGCATCATGAGGATATGTGGAGTTAGTGGGGGATAACTGAAGGGTTAAGGCTCAGCTGTAAGGTGTTTGTTCTGTACAGGTGTGTCTCGGGCCAGAGATAAGGACAGACATGCAGACTTCAAAGACGTTGCCCCAAAGCTGTTTGCAGCACAAGGCTCCTCGTCTCCCAAAGGCCTCGCAAGGCCTCTGGTCTCTTACCCAGACAGCAGCTTTTCTCAGTAATTGCTGACCATTTGTAACAATACAATAAGCATGAGAAATGATAAACACAGCTGTTGAAAAGTAAGTAATCATTCATTAAAAGACACCACTTTGAACAGTATGCTGGCTAGATCTTTATTTTAAACAGCCTGTACAACCAAAAATTAAGAGCAAGAGCAATTATGCATATGCATGTATGTGACTGATACAGTTACAGTACCCAATCACATCATACAAAGTTTCCCAATAAATTAAGGAGTGAAAAAACAAATACAGTGCATACCTAAAGATCATCAGTACGTAAGTGAGAGAAACACAGCCTAAGTAAAAGTATTTGCATATCCTCTAGCTGTTTTAACATTGCCCTTTAAAAGCTAACCAAACCCATTCTTGCTCTGGGAAGATTATCTTACAAGCACTGGGCTAAATCACAGCTTTGCCCCAGGGACAAGGAAACTGCTCCTGTGCCACCACCCTTGCAGGGGCAGGAGGGCAGGTTACACCCCGAGAATCAGCGTTTGCCTTCCTGTGTACCCTGAAGCCTGGAACGATGTAGCAGACACTCCTGGATCACAGACACAGCTCTGCCTCCTGCCCAGCTCCGTGCCTTGGGCAGCAGTGCAGGCGCTCTGCATCGGCTGTGTCTCCCCTTGGCAGGCTGCCCCTGCTACCAGTCCCCTGCGCGGGATTTTAAGGGGTACCTTATTTGCACGCAATTTGCCCAGCATGCATCACTGAGTAACAGGCCAAACTTATTCTTGTTACTGCTTTATCATTGGTTTCATCTGGACCATAAACATCCATCTATCAATAAATAAAATCATTGGTTTAGCACTCATATAAAAATTACAATGCCTCCCACTGGTAACTGTTTAAAAAGTTCTTCATGTTACCCCCAACGCAAGCCTCAAGAAAATTACTTTCTTTTCCCTCAAGCTCAGTAAGGCTTCAAGTAACAATTTAAAGTACTGCCTGGACAAGACATGGGCTTGGTTTGGAACCGTGTTTCTGGCTACAGGGTCAAAAGATTTCCACACTTCTACACTTGACTGTATGAAGTGCGTGACTGCCATTTTCACCAGTGAGCAGCAGAAGGGGGAACTGAACACTACTTGCTGTTGATTTCCTCTCCAGGTGACTGAAACAGTCCTTTTACAAAGCCTATCAATCTAATCCAGCTAAAATGAAAAGCAAAAATGTCACTCGAGTCAGAACCAAAGCCTCTGTGTATCAAGATTCACAACAAGAGTTCTTATCCACAGCCGTTTGCTCTAACAAACCTCATATAAATAAAGCCTTGACTTCCTTTTCTTACTGGCCAGGACAGAATGATCTAAAATAACCCACGTCTTCCTCCAACTGAGTATTTATAAGGCACTAAAATTAAGCAACAACCAATCCCCCCCCAAACCTCCAAAACCAAAACAAAAAAAAATCCAAATAAACTGCCCCATGAGTAAAAACCGAAATTAAAACTTGGCTACATGAAATAGCAGCAACTTTTTCAGTAGTCTACGAAGTCAGAACATTGATATTTTGGGGAAAAAAAACAATGCACTGTTAGCCAATGACAAAGTACCTAAAACCTACATCCACTTACACTTTATAATCAAAATCAGTACAAATCTGATAGGCACAAGTAAAAAGCACTTTCTTCACACCTCAGTGCTCAGTTTTGAAGCTGAAGCCACTGTTAGGGAGTTTAACTGCTCTGCTGAGATCATAGGACGGTATAACCCAAGCAGTATAGTGCCACACAACACCGTGCAGCGCTGTACAACCGCAAGATTATGGTACCATTGTTAAGCTGTTCCACAGGTTACTGACGGGAGGCAAATGTTTTTAACATCATGATTCATTTGACAATGCGTTCAGCTTTGGCACCTATTTCTGAGCCCTCCTTACCATTTTCAAAAGTAATGTTAAATATAGCTATAGTATACAGCTGGTGTAATTCCTGTGTCTTCTTCCTTTCCAATTATTTTTCTTATGCTTGGAAATAGGTGAATTCACCTATGTCACTACATTAGATACAAAGGCTAGCACTTAAGATTTCTTCAAAACAATCACTTCGAGTTTGGAAAATTGGTTTTAAAACATACGAAGAAATACTAAACATAAATTTATAAAGCAGGAATTCATACCTTTAAACATCAACAAGAAGGAGCTTATTTGGAGAGCAATAAAGCTTTTTTTAAAAGGATATACTGACTAGCTATAGGTAAATTAATCTTTCCCTGATTGCTTAGTTAGATCATCCAGGCTCAGTGCCTCGCAGCTTTGCAGATTTTGTCATACACTTCTGGAAAGGCATCCTTGCAATTCATTTGCTCCCTCAGCTTGTGGTATAACGAACCATCAAACATATCCCAGAACTCCTCACGGGTCATATAGCAATCTGCATACAGCATCTGAAAACTTGAGAAAAAAAAGAAAGGAAAAAAAAAAGAGACAGAGATTCAGTATTAATTGTGCCACAAAATTTGAAATACCATATTAAAAAAAAAATTCAGGGCAAGCTACGAATAGCAAATATTCAACAAAAAATGATCAAAAATGCTTTTTAAATGCAAGCAATTATAATTGCTCACATGGATCATGCTGGGATACTCTGCCAATTGTATTTTGCGGATTTAACATTACCATGATCTCTTTTCCAAGAGGAAATAACATGTAACATGAAAACAGCAGAATACTGCTACAGTATTTTGGTGAAGGGGAAGATGGGAAAAGACAGCAATTAAAATAACTTTTGCTTTTAAAATATGGTTCAGAACACTTCTTTAGCCATCAATGTATTGACACTTTCATTAGTTTTGCTACTACAAAGAGAAAAGGGTGAGGACTAAAAAATGTGTCTAAAACAGTGGTTCATGTTCAGACATCCTAACCATGTGCAGCCAAATCTCCTGACAACTTGTGTTCTAACAACTTGTGTTCACAGAAACACAAGTCTACAGAGAACTTCAAAAGTTGCCCCAAATCAAGAGTCTGGTCCCTTGCACCAAAAATTACACATAACCTAAATTATCCCTGACAAATACTTTTCTAACTGCTTTTGAAAGCCTTCTTTCCTTTTTCTTCCATTCAAAACCTTTTAATTCCAGTTTCAAAACAAAGGAAGTATTTTTCTGCATGTTTTCTTATGATCTGTGGAGGTACAGTCATGGTGTCTTGTATTAGCCTGTGTTACAAAATGCATTCAAGGCAGTATCTTTTTTGAATTTTGACAGTTTCTTTGAACTGGACATTGAGAATATAACTAGGAAGGCAAAAGCCTGCCAAATCAGACGAGGCTGAGAAGATAAATTTATAGTGTA